CGGAGCAACAATTACAACAATTACAATGTAGCGCCATGTACTTTGTCTGTCAGTGACATCAGTGTTGTAACAAAGCGTCTAGCACATGGCTAGCAGAATGACGTACTTCAGAAGTCTCTACAGATTTATCGCATTAATTTCGCCAACTTCATGACTAATGACGGCATTTCTTTTGCGACACGAGATATTTGATCCACTGCTTTCAGGTTACGGCTGTGTTTGTCCGAGTTCCAAACTTGGTAAAATATAATTAATAGTCTACGGTATCGTTGACATTCCATTGGCACTGCTTACTTTTGCGAACACTGAAGAATTCCTGAGTCAAGTGGTCTTCCTGTGGCTCGGGAAGGTAGGTGGAAATCCAATGAATTCGATCGCACCTCATCAATTTAACTAATTTGGCATTAGTGCAAATGACACCATCTTCTAGGAACAGATGCATGTGAGAGATCTTCAGTCATTTTCATACTTGTCGTTGAGTAGCGTAATTAGAATTTTTAAAAACTTGTAAGTGCCTTTGGGACAGTTGGAGAGGTATGACAATAATGAGCTAATAATATCTAAAGCTGTTCTTGAACTGTACCTAAACTTCTGAACTCTCAGCTGAAAAATGGCGTTCATTCAGTATCCATGCGTGCACAAAAATCAGTGCTACTTTCAACTTTAGAAACTTATCTGAACTCACATGAAAGATTTCTAATAAAAGGCTAGTGAGATTCTACTTACATTTTTTTCATAAAGATACCACTTCTTTTATTTTGCGGGAATGAAGTTTTCGTTTTCGAAAATCACTGAACAGTTTTCTGCCAAACTGATAACCTCATAATTGATCTAATATTCACTATCTTTCGTTGATCGGGCACGAGATCGTTTTTACACTATTTACTCACAATGCTAACGTTTAATGCTTCTACTTTCTTTAGAGCTTGAGTAAACCAAACTGACATTTAACCTAATTATCTAAGATTTCTCACATCCTTGGCAGAAGTTTTTCGACATCTAAATTCAATCAAAGGGAAGCAGCCTCTTTGAAATCCAGTGTTTTGTTCTTTATAAGATTTCCTTTAATGTTAGACCAGCCGCACTCAGTCTTACATGGTAGAGGCATTTATCCAAGTGAGATAAAAGTAGGCATGAAATATGCGGCTAGGTCTCTCGTAATTATAACACGCTCCTCCATACCAGCCATTTGTGGGCATTTAGAATTTATCGAAAAGATTTCAGATGTCTTGAAAGCAGATATTTTAGATTTTTTAAAAAAAGCGCATTGATTTCTCAAAATCATTCCTGTTACACATTTGAGCTCTAGCGGTTGCCTAATAAAAAATGTACTTTTTTAAAATCACCATTTCTGTGCTTCTTTACGCGTACGCAGAACTGCTCACTTCCCCAGTCATTTCTCCCCATAGGCTTTACTAGATATTACGTCCTAGGTAATCGCTGAACATCATATCGTCCCTTTGAAGTCTTCATGAAGAGTTTTAACCATAAATTTGCTCTGTTCTTTCTTTGAACTTATCAGAAAGTGAAACGTAGTCGTAGACAGCTTGCCCATCAGTTGTCAATCAGACGCATTACAAGTCTGGCCTATCCGATTTTTCGATGAAGTGGCGTGACCGTTGACGTAGGTCGGAATTAGGATACTTCCTCTAATTACTGAATACGCAGTACTCCCAGCATCGACTTTTCGACAACCTTTTCAACACCAAATTTCCGGATCAAACGTTAATGAAGAATTAAACATGTAGTCGGGAGAGGTGAGGACGATGTCGGTTGTTTTTGTACTCTCCACTATATCCTGACGCTCTTGAGAGCTCTACAACCACCTCGCAATCTATTAGTCAACTCTAAACTAATGTCGTTCGTCATATTGACTTTTCGACTTGAATAGACGTAAACGGAGCAATTTGAGATTGTGATGATTGTGAAAGAGACATGCGAAACTAGTCCATTTCTCATACATATTCTTTTCCATTCTTCAAAGTCTGTCACATTACTACAAATAATCACGTCACTTTTCTGTTTCTGAGAGATAAGGGCAAAAGGGAGAAAGGTATTATTTAGCCTTACAGCGATAAACCCCTCACTGGTTCTCAACAGCGTTTTGTGTGTTTCGAGTGTTTCTGAGCCCAAAGTTCCATAAAGTTTTCGCAGTACGTCATATTTACGACGATCTGTTCTGAAAAACATCTGCACCAAGAAATCAACATTTCCACAAATATTAGCAAGAATTTGGAGTCGTTTTCGTCTTATTTTCATATTACGACAATGCTTGAAGCCCTTCATAGACATTGCTGTATATGCTGAGGAATGAAACAAGGAAAGATAGAGCAAATCCGTGTGCCAAGGATTTCTTGAAACTGACTTGGGTGCACACAAGTATGCTTACACTCAAACAACTAAAAGTGATGTAGTGATTATGTAATGCAATAGTTGCTCTGATGTGGTAGAGACAGATATCCATTTTTCAGTCCTTTCCTAAGCAAATATTTTATAAAGTATTTTATGAATAGGTATAGCATAGTAACCACTGATGCTTTTCCGTACACAATGTAATAATCGGTGGTTCGACTCCACATCTTGAGCACTCAGTCAAAACCATGTGTTTCACAGCTTAATTTTGTTTCACGTCACAATCCTTTTTTAGGTTATGAAATGTATTAAACAGCAGAAATACACAACACTCCTAGTACTATGGCGCACAACGAACCTGATTGTTTCTTGAGATACTCCACCTATTGTACCTATTGTAAGGAAAACAGTGCATTTCGACAACGCGAGAAGTGAATGTATGAAACAATCTAAACATATACTAGGTTGGAGAGGAAGTTTTGGGATACTTGTGGAAAACTGACGATTTGTACATGAACTTCAGACAAAAATAATAATAACTATTCTTCAAAATAGACGTCATCGTTTTCTACAACTTTGTGCCATCGGTCCGCCAAGTTTTGGATCTGCCCGAAGTACCATTCCTTCGACTTCGAATCCGGTTCATTCGACGGTTCATCTCCTGAAGCAACACTTGAATCTTCGTTGTTCAACTTCGTTGGACGTCGTGAACGAGGTTTCTCTTCGAGGTCAAGATCTCCAGCAATGAGAGGCGCTGAAACCATCTTTCAGCAGCCGATTTGCTTGTTGTGCATTTTGCTTCAATTTGTTGAATTCATCGACTGCAGCTCGCTGTGAAAGATCCTTTCTCCAGTACTCACGCATTAAAACACGAGCTCCAAATGTATCGTTAGACATCTCGGAGACTTGTACCAATGTGAGTAAAGGACGAATAATATCTAGGCCTTCAGTGGGAAAATTTCGCATAGCATACACCATTCCTGAATAATCAAATACTTCCAAGTTCTAACAACAGCCAGCCCAACCTTTAAGACACAACTGTACATTTTACATGATATGCATGGATGTAATCTCATGCTTATCAAAATGCCGCAGAACTTCCTTCCGAACTGCAGTGTTTCCAAAAGCCAGAAACATCCATTACTTTTTCAACGTCATCAGTTCACACTTGATTAAAAGTGAGGAGTGTAAAACAATCTGAGCATGAATTTAGATGAAATGAGCAGGATATCTCATCGGGTCACTGATGTCATCGGTACCATAAGTCTTATCGTCCACAAATTCGCATTTTGATCTCATAAAATCATCAGTAACTTAGGCAGAAATGCTATTTGAGTGTGCAGGATATTATAATAGTCGCATAATTTTTACTATTACACTGCAACTACATCGCTCCCACTATTCTCTAACTCTCTCTCTCCTTCTCGTTCTCTCTATTTCTCTCTCTCCCTCTGACTCTCGTTTTCACATCCTCACTAGTTGGCATATCTTCATTGCTCCGCGCCAGCGGCATGTTGTTTCCGACTATCTGGTATGTGGGTCGACAAAATTTCGCGCGGTTATTGGGCGTCGTGGCTGGCGCCTGTGAGGCAGCTTCTGGGCAGTAGTAATGTGGGCAGAGTGAGGGGAGGAGTCCCGCAGCGATCGAGTCGCGTCGTCAGGGGTGTGCTGCCGGAAGGTGGCATGTCTTGGGCGGTCAAGGAGTGGTGCACGGCTCAGGTCCGAAAGGGAGCACGCAAAAGCCACCGCGCAACGCAGTGACCGGATAGCGCCCGTGAGTACCTCCACCATAGCAGCCTCTCTGATACTTTCAGACCACCAGTCGTTTTGCCCCTAGGCGTTTCCACCGAAATTGCATTATGGCGCACGTACATTTTGGGGCTGATCACAACTGTTCAACAGCTTTTCCCACTTGTAAGCTCGGTTAGAGAAAAGTCTGTCCCACAATTTGCTGTTTTCAGAGAAATCATACCTTGAGACGGCAAGTTTCTCGGACGACGAGCTGGTGGCTTTTGTTATCAATGCCAGTATGAGAGTTTTCGAGTAAACTTGACTCTGCACTCGTGAAAAGGGCCGACCCAACTGGCAAAATTTGAGTCAAACTGCCTTTGAGACCACTACTGTGCGTATTTATATAACCAACTGATGTACGAATTAAAGCTGCATGACTTGATGTAAGGGTGGAAGCAAAGTTAGAGTATGTTCTACCGTCCTTTTCGTGAATCTTTGATGACGAATAGGTTAGTGAAACAGCTAGATTACTCTACACCTGTATAAGAGAACAAACTTGAGGGTAAGCACCGTGCTTAACCAGACGCCAAATATGCCACAATGACATAAAGGAGAAGACCGGCATGAATTGAAGTGACTAATGCTGTATAGAAAATCCAAAACATCTGCGCGAAAATTCTTAAAGCATTCTGAATAAAATTCAAAAATCCGAGAATGAACACACGAAGAAGTGCCATTCGAGCACCCGTTTCCTCATCCCTAGTCTCAGGCCAGTTTTTTGACCTGAGCCACTCACAATAATTACCGGTGCAAGACTCATTGCAGGTAGACTTCGATAATTACCGGAAGACATGATAAGCAGAACAGTAGGTTACGACTATATATCTGATGATGTGAAGTGATATACAGAAAAATTCACCTCCAAACGGTAGTTGAACCCGTGTTCACCCATATTGAGGGTGCATGCTACCACTGCACCACCGGAGCCATCGGTTTGCTACCACTCTTTCTTCAATATAAACTAACGAAGTCGTAAGCAATCAAGCGTTAAAGGGTTTGATCTGGTTAGCAAATAAACACGCAAACCCTCAAAGGTTGGCTGCTAATTGCTGCGATGAATTTATGAAAAAAGGGAGATAACAACGCAGTGGTCTCGGATGTGTAGTGATGGAATGCTCCCCCGGTATGAGTGAAACTGGATCTAACTCTCGTCTGGAGTCGTTCTTTTGCATATATCACTCAGGTCAGTGGTTACAACATCATAACGTTGCTAAGGTGCGGTTAAAATAGAGATACTTAACGATTGCTAGTGGTCGGGGAAAGTTATTTCTTATGCAATTGAGAATTCAATATCGAAGACGATTAAACTAATACTGGCTGACGATACTCATTTCACCTTTTCAGGATGCTAAGAAGGCGAAGCCGCCCAAGTCAGTACTAGATTGAAAGAGCATTGTAAAAACGAATACTAGGTTGAAGAAAAACAACTTAACACTAGTGAAAATTTACATTTTATGTTTGTTTCACAGGGTATCGGCTATTGTAAATTCATTGGAATATCTCGGGAATATTTCCATAAAAAAACTCACGGCAATGCTTGTTGTACAGCATAGAGTCTGCGCTGCGTTGAAGGAAAAGTACCCGCACTGATTTGTCGAAAGTACACGATGTTGCAGCAACACAGTGCCAAGCCACACATTGAAAAGAAGACTAAGGAAAAGTTTTATGGACTGGAGGGAGCCGAGATCTTGCCTCCAGAGAGATCTAGCCTATAATCCAGAAGTTGTGCCGTCCTACTATGGTCCAGCTTCACTCAGTGGAACACTTTCTTCACGGAAGCCGATTTTAGACATTTGATCAAATTGAAAAGGCACGTCAGGAGATTTTGGATTCGAAGCCCAAGGAATGGAGATTTTGATTAGATCCAGAAGTTTGCATGATGGCATTTGTTTTAAAAAATAATTATTGCTGTTTTCAATTGGATTTATTTATAAACTTCAAATTTCAACAAGTCATTGCAACGCGATATTGTTTCACAATTTATTGCCGACGCCATAAGCTGTGGCGCTTAAGTTATAAAGATAATTCCAAATCCGTTTTCGTTCTTTTGCGGAAATTCAACTTTTAAATGTATTCAAAGCAGCATAATATCTCAGTTAAGTTATTGGTACAATTATGTTAATAAAGCAGAACCTTATATTGATCAGTGAAGCGCAATCAAATCGTTTGCGGTTGATTGCTGACATTTCGTTACAATTGTGTTATAGAAAAAGTGGTGGTAAAACGAGTGCCGTTAGTGCATTGATCATCACGCGCCCCCGGGAAAGGTGAAATGCAGATTCGAATTCCAACCGAAGTTCAAAGTTTTGCACATCACTCAACAATATTGAATATGTAATTTTGAAATCGCATCATTGCTAAAAGTGATTAATAAAAAGAGTTAGGGTATATAAAGCAAAACTTTCTACATAGGCATGTTAAGCGCTCAACCGCTCAATTCTATTTGGTGTTGGAAAATCCACGGTCGCTATGAATGACTAGGCGTTGCAGCCAATGTGAAGGCAAAGTTAACGCATGGTCTCCATCTTTAGCTGTGTCGCGACTCGTGCCCATATTTTATGCACATGAAGTTTTATACATTAAAGCAACCTTAGACGAAGTAAACACAGACAGATTAAGAAGAAATGAGAAGTGGAAAACAACATGAATACTTGTGTAATGACAATACATTCATATAATAAACTTTTTCTAGTCGATGAATTTGTTGACCGGTCTCTTTCTTTCGCTGTTGTTTCTCTATCCAATTTTTTTGAGCATTGGTGTCGCACAGATATGCGAATTTATCCCTCCGAGATTCCATTTACTTCAGCTTCACGATGAAATTCACGAATGGATTTGGTGATCTAGTGGTACAATAGTGGAAAAAAATTTGATTCCAAAAAAATGTTAAACACTCCCCATATCCATTACCTGTACTACCTGTTGACCAGCGATTGTCGAGTGACTCGAGCGAATACCAGCAACACTTCCATTTTTCCCTAACGCGTGCTAGAGTAGCCCAAAGGGTCCTCCTCGCTCTAGGGCCTCGCTGAGCATCATATCTCTCTTTTATACCTTTCGTGAAGGAAATCGAGCCAACGGGTCTTGGTCTTCCTCTGGAGCGCTTGACGTCCAGGGGAATTCAGTCGGAAACGGCTCTTGTCCATGTCCGGCCTACCTTATTTTCGGTATTCTAGCGTGTAGAACGGCGTCTCTGATTTTTGATCGTTGACGAAGGTTGGAACTTCGAATCCTTTCTCTTATTCACGAGATACGGGGCACTTCTACCATTGAAGTTTCGACTGCGCGTTCAATAAAGCCAAGTGATCTTTCATCCTGCTTACATAGCGACCAGGTTTCTGGTGTATACGTTAGGGCAGGGATAGTCGTCGAGTCGAAAAGGTGGGCGCGGAGTCGGATGTTCTTTGTTCTCTTCACTACATCTTCGATGCTCTCAAATGTTCCCCAAGCTGCTCGTTTCCTCCTGTTTGACTCTGGAGCTAGGTCGTTCACCATATTGATTTTACGATCTAGGTAGACGTAAGTGGAGCATTCGGAGATTTCCGTTCAGTTTATCGTAAAAGGTGCATTCAAAACCCATCCATTCCTCATGAACATCGTTGTCGTTACATTTAGTTAAAGACCAATCTTTCCACAGGTGTCATCAATATCGGTCAACATTCGTTCCTCTTGGCTGATGCTAGGTGTTATGTGGACGATATCATCAGCAATGCAAAGGTGATTTGATTGTCGACGGCAGTTTTCACTCCCATATCGTCCCATTCTAATGTTCACATGATGTTTTGGAGGGTGGTAGTGAATAATTTTGGCGAAATTGTATCGCCTTGTCGAACTCCTCTTCTTACGTGAATGGTAGTGCTGTTGTAGAATGGAGATATTTTGTTCGTGAAATTCAAATAAAGCTCACGATGGATCATTATCTACCGACGCCCTGGTCATCCAGAGCCTCTATAACCACTTCTGTTTCCACTGAATCAGAGGCTTTCTTCAGATTGAAGAAAGTGAGACACAGTGCTTGTTTACACACTCGTGAAATTCAATGAGTCTTGTAGTCGTGTGGATATGGCTTATGGTACTGAATCCTTCTCGAAGCCCTGCTTATTCGCATGGCTGCCCTTCGTTCACTTTCTGTCAATCCTGTTTATAATGACTCGAGTAAAGAGTTTAAAGACAACGGACAGCAAGCAGATTGGGCGATAACTGCTTATGTCGTGAAGGCCACCCTTTTTGAACAACAACACGGTCTTGTTGGTCACCCATTGAATAGGAACCTTGCCTTCTGACAGGTAGTGAGTAAAGAACCCCCCTAGGGTGTTGGTGAGAACTGGCCGTAGGTTGTTCAGGTGTTCTGGTCTAATCCTGTCTGAACTCGGTGTTGTTCTGTTCTTCACTGACGATATGGCATGTCGTATTTTGGAAGGGATGACCGGTGAAACGACCAATTCATCTTCTTTCAATATATATGACAGTAAGAGGACATGGCCAACGAAGAGATCCGAGTAGCACTGGTGAACGTTTTTTTTCATTGTACTTCTGAAAGATGTAAGTGTCCCGTCAGGGCATAGTAGTGCAATCATCTTGGTCTTATAATTGGCATAGCCTCGCTGGGCTCTGCGACTGCTCTTCCCAGCTTTTGCAGCTTCTGCCATGACTGCTGCTCGTCTCTCCTTGAGGTCTTCTCTTATCGCTTCTTCACAGCGTTTCACAAGGTTGGTCTTAAGGTTTCGGTTGCCTGTATCTCGTGCAATTCCACGTTGGCGTATCAGCTCGAGTGTCTGCAGAGACAAGAGTCTCTTCGTGACTTCAGGGCTCTCGGCTTTCATAGCACTAACGTGAGGATATTCAACAAACCGGTCGTATTCTTCGACGATGTTGTTGAGGACGGTAGCTTCCCAGTAGTCTACTGAGGATTTGAATACATCCCAGTTCATGGTAATTTCGAAACTACGTTGTTCAAATTTAGCGGCTTTCTTCCTTTTCGCGAAAAACGGAACGTTTCGCGAAGGAGGCGATGGTCTGATCCCGAGTAGATCTTAGAAGCAACGGGACATCGGTCAGGTAAAGCCTTCGATATGCTGAGACGTGCCCTATTTTGTTATAATACCTTCTATTTGGAGACTCTCACGTCAACAACTAAGGGTGAGGTTTTTGGAATTGTGAATTACCATGGATAATTTGGGTCGTCATGATAAACTTATATAGCCTCTCACCCTGTTCATTCCATTGTAGACCGTGAGTCGCAATGTGACGTTCTTCAGAGGTTCTTCAAGGTTCAGCTTTCGCATTAAAATCTCCGACAATGACTTTGAAGAATATAGATCTTCTCTGAAAAATTTTTCGAGGTCTATTTGAAACTCTTCTATTACATCTTCGTCATAGCTTGATGTTGAAGCAACGAAGATGGTCCAAGCCGGCATTGAACCACATCGATCCAAACGTAATCGTCAAATGCGGACTGTTAGTTGTTTAAATGAATCGGTGTTCACGGTTAAATTCGATTCAGCGGACACGCCAACGCCACCGATACCTCTATCATCGTATGCCCTAAGAAAAAGACTTCTTCTCCGGTGGCATAAACAGCGTGAAAAGGATGGCGCCTTTTCGTTTTAGCCAGGTCAATGACGTCGTACGGTGACCTTCTTGCTTGATTCAATAGATGTTCTATAGCGGATTCATAAGCAAGTGTCTTTGCATTGAAGGTACAGATCGTCATTTAAGTCCCTCCCAATCTTTGCAGCCTAGTTTAGAACTGGGATTTTAGCAGCCTTTCCGTACTCGTCCTACCTGGCACTGCCTTACCAGGTGCACTTTCAGGGTCAGAGGAATGAGGCCCATACTTGTTACTGTTTTTTAGCAATGTGATACACCACTTATAGCTTGCTGAGCTCTAAACGTAGGGCTGGGTACTCCCGATTACCTTGCCAGTC